TGTAAACTTTTTCTTTTTACACCAAGTTTAACTGGAGGTGATTTTTAATGGATTTAACCTAATCTCCCTTTAAAAGTACATTAAAATTACTAACTTAGCTGGCAAATTATTAGACCAGTGGACTTAGTTAAACACTGATGTTTGCTGTACTTCTCACTTCTCCTGAAACCATAACCTGCATACAGAAAGGGAAGTGCTCTTGTGGTAAATTACCTGCATCTTCCGCTTTACAGTTTCAAAAGGGTAGGAGAGGGTTTGGGCCACTGCCGCTGTCAGACAGCCATTAATGAAGTTCTGGAGGGGAGTGAAACGAAAAGGAGGCTCCTGCCACAGCTTGTCCAAGTTCATGTAGACTGCATAGCACCCGATGGAAAAGGGAAAAGCACCTGTAGACAAGTGAACATGTAGAGTTACAGTTAAACTTATCATTAATGAACTTTGGAGAGCAAAAAATGTATTCTGTAGAATGAACATCATCATTTCTTTGAATCAGTCAGCTCATGTAAATACTAACTTGCTCAGTGTAATAAGTGAAAAGCATTAATGTCTAATATCTTAACACCACCCATTAGAAATTAATTAGTTTGTATGAATATGCAAACGCACCCAGGAAAGTGAGAGAAAAGCCCCTGTAGAGAGCGAGCAGTCCTTCGCTCCTGTAGATCTTTGAGAGAGTGTGAGCTACGCCAATGTACGTGGGCTGTCTGCAGTTTTGAACGATGAGTCTGGTTTCTGCCACCTCCAGAGGGTACGTGGTCAGGGCGGCAGCAACACCCGCCAGTCCACCGGCCAATATGGCTCTCCACTGAGAGATGAAGCCCACTTCGTCCATGTGAAGGTGGACTATCCTGGACACAGAGGATGGCAAAATGAATAACATTTAATTGTCTTTTTTCTGGTTTTACATTATAAAGCTAAAACAAAAAGGTGGTTCAAGCTTTTCAAATGTGAGAATTTGCTGCTTTATTTTGTATATTATTATATATTTGTAAATAAGTTGTTTTATTTGACCAAAAGTCCAAAACCAAAAAGGATTTAATTTACAATTATATATATAAAAAAGGGGAACAAATGCTCACAGAGGCAGAATATTTAGATTCTTTTCTCAGTAAATGACTTTTGATAAAGTAACAATTGATTTTATGTCTCTTAAATGACTAATTGTTTCAGCCTTGAATTGAATATCTTTGAGTTTGGTACTGTTGGTTGGAGGGAACAAGACATTTTAAGATGTCACCTTGGGTTCAAGAAAATTGGGATGGGCATTTATCACCATTTCTAAGCATTTTATCTGTAAAATGATTAATGAATTATTAAAAACATATATTTCATCACCAACAAACCACACAGTATAGTCAATAATCCCAATAATTATTAGTTGCAGCCCTAGTTCCGTGTATAGATAAGCAGGTTCTTTATTGATAATACCTCCATGATTACTCTTTTGTGTTCTTTATATGTGCAACTTAATAAACATTAACTATGTCAGAACATTTTCAAGGTCGTGTTTAAGTCATCTACACTTAAGGAGCAAATGAATAACTCAGGCCATGTGTGAGTGAAGAGGTCATAAAGGGACACGGTGTACAGTACAGGACAGTGGTTTGTGGTGTTTACACACACATACGTGTCCTGAAGCATGAGAGGCTGCTGCAGCCTACAGACAGTAGATACTGTATTTATGACTGCACATTGGATTACTGTTGTCATGGCTGAGGCTCCTCTCTGCCCTGTGTGTTTATGTCTCAGACATGCTGCCTGTGTGTTTTGCCCTGCAGTAACCCAGCAGCAGGTTCATCTGTGTGCCCTGAGTTCAGCCTCACAGGCAGTACCTCCCCTCAGGAGTACAGGTTGACGACACAATCATACATAATCTACGTATAAACATACTTTTATTTATATGTTAGGCCTGCAACTAACTAATTACATTAATGTATAATTTTTACTGTTTAAACAATAATAATTTCTTTAATAGAATGTCAGAAAACTGTAAATAAATAAATAAATAATGGCCATCACAGCTTAAGAGCTCAGAGCGTAAGTTGTTCAGCATGTTCAGCTTTTTTGTCAAATCTACACTCCAGAATCAAAGGTTATTCCATTTACTATCATATAAGTCAGAGAAAACTGTCAATTATTTACGTTTGGGAAGCTGGAACTGGCATCTTTATGCTTTAAAAAATTACTTAAATGGTTGGGCTATTATCAGATTTAGAGGAAAAACTACTGGAAAAAATAAAAATATCCAACCTAATCATTCATGTCACTTCAGAAGCAAGAAACAACCAGCAATGAACTGTTGGTTTTCTTTGACTTTTTCAATAGTAAATGAAATATCTTTGCGTTTTGGGCAAAAGAAGACATCTGGGGCTTAAACTAAACTAACTATCTGATCAAATCAGAAAGCTAATTGGCAGATCAATCAGCAATGACAATAATAGTTATTGGCCTTAAATAATTACCTGGAACGAATAACACATAATGTATTGTGCTCTGGGAACACAGACTACCTGTGGGCCAACACTCAGGGCGAAGACTACCTGTGGGCCAACACTCAGGGCGAAGACTACCTGTGGGCCAACACTCAGGGCGAAGACTACCTGTGGGCCAACACTCAGGGCGAAGACTACCTGTGGGCCAACACTCAGGGCGAAGACTACCTGTGGGCCAACACTCAGGGCGAAGACTACCTGTGGGACAACACTCAGGGCGAAGACTACCTGCGGGACAACACTCAGGGCGAAGACTACCTGCGGGACAACACTCAGGGCGAAGACAACACCTGTCACTTTAAAAATCGACTGAGCAAATCCAGCCTTCTGATTGGCTGACAAAAGAAGGTGCGGTGACACGTAAAACAGGAAGTACATGTTTAGCTAGAAGTAAACAGACGGTTTCAACGACTCCCTTTTCTTTATAAATCATAATAAACAACTTTAAATGAACGTTGTGATCACGTTGTCCTTTCCCTCTAAGTTAATATGTATTTATATCGATATATTTCACACTGTTCACCACACAAACTTGATATGTCAACGTCAGCTGACCGAGTTGGCTAACAAGCTAATTTAGCATAAACTCTGGGTCAAAGTCAGATGGAAACAACCACAAGAGTTGTTTTACTGAGCCCAAACAATGTGAGACTGTAACAACAGGTCAGATGTACCTACTTCCTGTATGTTGTGAGGTGAACTGCGGTGTAAGGGAACAACCGCAGACAAGAGGCGAGATTTCCTTTCCAAAATCCTCGAAGTCCCTCATTCTGGTAGATGAGCAGGAAACTCTGCCAGAAACCGCTCTTACAGTGAAAAGTCCCCACCTGACTTTTAATTTTAACCACCTCCAAAGGCGACGTGGCTGTTTTACTGAAAAACCCGGCGAAACCGACACACATGAAGCTCTGAGACCTCGTCAGTCTGTCGTCCTTTTTCACTGAGGCCATCACTTACTGGGCCCTCCGCTGAGCTGTCTGCTTCCTGCGATGATTTCAGTTTTCTCCGAGGGACAGGAAAGGATTTGTTTTTGCAGGTTAGACATCTAAATATAGAGGACGAGGAGGTATCCGTCTCCCGTCCTGGCCAGCGGTGTTATGTGACAGTGCTGGAGGTGAGCTGGACTGACTGCTCAGTGAGACTAGAGGGCGCTCTTTGACCTGGTTTCAAAGCTCAGTACAGTGTGTTCAGATGTGTCCTTAACCACACCCTTTATTCAAGTAGGAACATATATTTATCCTATACTATACTATATTGCTGTATTATAGCCTAATGTTAAACTATATTACTACATTACACTTTTTATATTATATTCTATATCCCATTCTATATTTTATTACACTATATATCTTACAGATACTTTACTTTGCTGACTTTGCAGCTACTAATCACACCATTATGTCACATATATATGTTATATATATATATTTATTGCCTTGTAATTTTGAGTTTAATTGTTTTTGTATAGTTTTTGTTACTCCTATCTTATAATAATATACCCTTATAAGTATTCGAAGTATTAACAGCAACATATAAAACTACTCATGCAGAAGGGCCCTAACCACAGTATTATATTAATATGCATAATTAACATTAATATATTATGCTAATGTATATTATTACTGATCCATTAATATGTAAGCAACACTTTAATCTTGTAGGTGGATGAACAGGAGCTAATTTTAAGTTTAAAATTAATTTATATATTATTGAGTTGTTTATTTCATCCTGTTATCATAAATAATTTAATGAAGCACAGTTACAAGTAGAGTGTTTACTTCTCAACTATAGTGCAGTAGAAGTATTAAGTGGCATAAAATAGAATTAATTAAAATCCAATTACCTTAAGTTGTAGTTAAGTCCAGTATTTAGGTAAATGTACGTAGTTACTTTCCACTACTGCCTTTAAATAAAGTCACATAATACATAACCAAAACCTGATTTATAAATGTGTATAACAACTTTTAAACTTTTCACTTAAGATGAGTATTTCCTTTGTGCAAATAGTATTAATTAAGATCCATTTTCAACTGTTTAAAGGTGTATTATAGTTTAAGTACTTGCAGTTTTGTATTTTGACTTTTCTTTCTGTACATTCATTTGTTATCAACCTGGGGCACGCCGAGTATCAGTGCCATAGTGTAAAAGAGGTTGTCAAACCTGCAGTTAAGTCAAGTCAGTATCATTACTGGGTCACAGACATCTCACTGAAAGATTTATCAGTTTTGTCATGGTATTTTACTTACTTTATTTTGGTATTTCACTGAATACAGTTGTAGAAATTATACATTGAGTGTTTCCATTTTTATTTCAAGAAAAGATTGTACTTTTTACCTTAATGTATTCAGAAACCTGATGACTGTAACACTATATGGATTTGTTTCACCAGAAACCACACCCAAAAAACTTTGTGTTTAAGGTCACAACGGCATAAATGCATTGTGGGTGGAGAGATAGCAGTGGAGGAACTGAAACTTGTGGTCAGTGCAGTGAATATATTATCTTTGCTGCTGAATTTATTCCAGGAAATAAGACAAAAATAACAGTGAAGTAGTTTGAATGGTTGAATCAAACCATTCTTCATACTTTTTATATTTTCAGCTGATCTCTTGAGGAACCACTTTGGGAACCACACAACATTGGTGGGGTGACTTTGTCTCAATAGGTGGCGCAATACTCCTACTTTTTGATTTGTCTTTATGGCAGCTGGGGGTGAAACAACAGGTAGAGGTAAGATTTGGGTTATAAACTGCCCAACTGCAAGAACACAAGTATGTTTTTGAAAGCTAAGTAACAGTAAAAATAACAATTTTTCTTTCAGATTTTCATGTATTTATTATTTATCAAAGGAGAGGTTTTGGTGGTTTAAAGCAAACATTATTGTGATATCTTCTTTTCTTTGTTTTTGTTTTGACATCTGCAGTGACACTGTCAACATGTTTCCAGGTAATTCATTATATTTTCTTTATTATACCAAGAAGATCATTCAGGTCTGATTTACTGTACAACAACACTGGACGAGCTAAAGAGCAGCTTCAGCAACAGACTCATTCAACCCTGCTGCTCTAAGGAACGATACAGAAAATCCTTCCCCCCCACTGTTATAAGACTCTATAACTCATCTGCCTCTGTCGGATCCACAATTACAGAACTGGACTAAATCTACTTGTGGAACATATACTTCATATCATATGTGATATGTGTTAATATAAACCATGTTGATATTATATATCATATTTATACAATATATTATTATTATATTAATAAAATTATATTATTATAATAATAATAATAATTATTATTATATAACAATAATAATAATATATTATTTATTGTATGTATATCTTCTTGTATAGTCAAGTATACATATGCTATATATCATATCATATCTCGTGTATATATATGTGTGTGTACATATTATATATACATATATATATATATATATATATATATATATATAATACATATATATATATATATAATACATATTATATTATTATACATTTTATTATCTATCTATCTATCTATCTATCTATCTATCTATCTATCTATCTATCTATCTATCTATCTATCTATCTATCTATCTATCTGTATAACTGTATACATCAGCAGGCATTTGGTGTCTTTTTTCAGCACCATGTTTGTTTTCTCCTTGTCTTGGCTTGCCAGGAGCGCCTCCCTCCCCTGCTGGGCTGACAACCACAGATGCATGCGTGGAGCCCACTTTCTGTCTGCGGCTGGACCACTTGGCTCCTTCACAAAGGCTTTCTGGAATAACAGAGCCAACCAGAGGAAATGACAGCATGATCACAAGAGGTTTCCCTCACTCCCTCTAAAGCTGCCTACTGGGGGTCGAAAAGGGTGTGTGTCATTGGGATACTGGCAGAGGTGAAAGCTAATTTTGATGCAGTGGAAATAACTGCAGTAATAGTTCAGAAACAAGTGCAGAACTTATTGCTGCCCTGAGATGTGCAGACACTGAAGTTATAGTTCATATTAGCTATTCAGGCAACCAAGCCACGCTTTTAAAGTTCAGGGTTATTTGAATCCAGCATATCAATGCAATTGTGAAACCCAGGGTGATAGGCTGGTAGGAGGAAATGGAGTAATTTACTTCAAAACTGTGCACCAGCTGAAGAATTTAGAAGTAGAAATATATTTTCTTGCTCTCCAGAGCAATAAAAGACACCACTTTGTAAATGTTTTGAAAACCCTTTGATCTCACTGTCATATATGTGTGGTTTGTAATGCATGAGATACTGGGATGTGTTTCTAGTACGATAAGTGGTGTGATGTGGCTGTATCTTATCAATTAATGCTTCAGCAATCAAACAGGACACCACCAAGAATCTGCTGCCACTCTGTCTCCTCTGCTGTCCTTCCTCTGGCCCTCGCATTGCCTTTAACCCAACAGTATTTCTATAGAATACACATAGAGCACTGCCTCCTTCCTGTATGTATATCCCCCTCCCGAATGAGTGCTTCCTCCATGCAGCAAAGTAGTGCGGGAGCAGCCTGTATGCCTTTGTGTCTCTGGGACTGGCACGTAGCAGTAGGTGCAGGCTGGCTGAGGCATTGTCATTCTCTGGATGTCATATGCAAGTCAACCCTTGATCTCCCACTTTGAAGTGCATTGCTGCAGGACCCGAGAGAGCAGCCTGTGTGTATCTGACTTGAGCCCACAGGAGTCAGCAGAGGGCGCCTGATACCAGGGAGGCTGCACTGAGACCTGGGTCGCTGTCATCCTCACAGACTGGTGCAATAAAATTCTCACCTCATTATCTGAGACAGTCACATCACAGGCTTGTGTTGGCAGGGGAGGGGAAAGGGAAGAAAGGGGTGGGGGTGGGGAACAGGCTAGGATGGGTGACACCAAAGTCTGTCTGTATGTCTTTTTTTTTAAGGGTCGGGGGTGCGGTGGTGAGAAAAATCAGGCATAAGTACAATTCACTGGGGCACCATGTCGACACCTCTACCAACAAGGCTCAGGCCAACTGCCGCACTCCCCGGCTCACTTAACAGGAATGGGAGACTTGTTATGCATAGGAGCCTAATTCTGAATTAATGGTTGCTGTGATGGGTTAACCTGTGAAAGGTTGTCAAGGTTTGTTAGAAAGAGTAAATGCAGTTTTGCACCTCATTACTGGGAACAGTCTTTATTACAACAAACACTAAAACTACATTAATCTGTATAAATTGTAAAATATGCTGTAAATGTGTGTAGCCTTAGGGAATTCATTTGTGATGACCCTATTTGCGGTGACATTTTCAAATTAAAAGAACAGCTGGGGATTACCAAATCAGACACATTTTTGATTTTAAAACACAATTTAATTTGGAATTTGTGGAAAAATGTCATATTGTTTTGTGTGATTTCTATTTGCCTTGTAAAGCTTTAACAAGGAATGATGCATTACCTATTTAGTCAGGATGTAGATGACCAGGAGGCCCATTGTCTGTAAGGATGCAGAGGAGAACTTCTGGCAGCTGGTGCCCCCTTATCTTCCCATGTACAACCAATAAATCAATATCAAATCTAAGGAACAGGAAGCCAGATGGCCTTCCCACAACCCACAAGGGCCAGGGTGCTCTCAGGGCCTCCTCGGCTACTGTACCACCGGTGCATGCAGCAGTCCTTTGAAGACATACACATTCAACAAGCAGCTCAATGAATGACTAAAGGGAACAAATAAGCTGTTACGACTCTGCTCAAATCAGTGTTTGTGTTTCCATCCACATCAAAGGCCTCAGTCTGTTTGATATGCAGCCCCCACACCTTGATCCGAGCCATGTACAGGTAGAGGGGAGGAGCAGCCCATTGAGAAGAGAGAGGGTCATGTGGCTGCTGCTTCTCTCAGCCCTGGCTCGAGGGTAGTTGACCCAGACGAAGGGTCTGGTGGTGTCTCTTGTTCCCCAGGGAGCTATTGCTCCTTACACCCATCACTAGACACATTATTTATTGGGTGGCCTATTGATTACATGCTTTTAAGGAATATTCACAGGAATGTGGAGCAGTAATTACAAAATAGAAAACGTCTTGCATTTAAAGATTAAAGTTAGTACAACATTAACTGAAGTGGAGAGTTGTGTAGTAACTGATGGCTGGCTGGGAGTAAGGCCAGTGAGGTCTGTTGCCTAAATACATCCCGCCAGACTCATCTTGATTTCTGTGTAGGCCAGGGGTCAGGTTAAACAGTAGTTTGATTGAATGGCTGTTCACAGGCCAGTGTGAAATGCCAGCTCTATTGCAATGTGGGAGTGGGAAGGAGGGGGTTTCTCTGGCCTTTGTGTGGCCCGCGGTCTTAGAGCACGGACCCCATTGTTAGAGGCTGACCAGCCAGCCCCTCAGACTCTCCTTTGCCCTGCTTTGTCTCGAGCAGCGTGACCATTTCCTTCATCCAGGTCAGGGCAGGGTCGTGACTTTGGACACCAGTCTTCCCTGTCTGTCTGCTCAGCCTGCGTACTCATAAATGCATACAATGCGGAGACAGATGCACTGTTGTCACAGGTCAGGGTTAAAAATGTGATTGTGTCAGACCAGGTTTCAGCCTTTTTTTAACTAAGAGGATGCAGCAAAAACATCAGGTGCAATGAAACCAAAACGATACCTACAGCATTAACATGTTTAAATGACATGGTTGTTTTCTTCTTAAATTGATACATCTCACTTGTGTCTTTGTGAGTGTGTAAAACACAGTACCACAGAGTGGAGATAACCTCTTTACTGCCCTGAAGTGTCCAAGTTATGCAACTGTGGAGGTTTAGAAAGGTGGACAGTACCCTCCTTCTGTCCTGAGGCTGGACCTGCCTTATCATGGCCTGGTCATCATGGTGATAAGAAGAGGAAAGGCCAAAGGGCCATAAGAAACAGTGTGCATGGTCCAGGTCAACAGTGTGAGGAGGCTGAACTCAAAGGGGAGGGAAGGCGAACAAGAATATTATCTGATAAGAATCACCAAGGTCTTTTGATCTCAGAGGGGCTGATCCTGGGCTACAGGGTATCATGCTGGGTGGACGAGCAGAACGACACGGCAGGTACAAACAAGCGAGCCCTTGAAGATGGGGCTAAGCATATTTACACAGGGAAGACTGGAAAGACTCTCCTGATGCGCACACACACACACACACACACACACACACACACACACACACACACACACACACACACACACACACACACACACACACACACACACACACAAACATACAAGCTTGTTGTCCTCAGGATTTCACACTATAGTAGCATTCCTAACATGTTCAGGTATACTATTTTAACCAGAAAGCACAAATAGTGCCTAATTTTCTGATAAAATTAAGTGACCAGCCAATTTCTGGATAATAATATAATAAAAACAGACAACTGTTTTATGATGCAGAAGATTTTAAGATATGCCATGATCAGGTAATACATCCAAACCCCACAACTGAGCCCAGTGAAGAGAAGCTTGAATGTCACAGTGTGGTCTGAGGGGTTTCTTCTCATAAGTCACTGATTAAAAGCCGTCATGTGGAGGCCAGACAGGACCTGGGGCAGCAGTGCAAGCTGTGGCCTGGACCAAATGCCTCGCTGTCTTGCCCAGGGCAAGATGGAGGAGGGATTTTCTTTGCCTGGAGTGGCCAGAGGGGGGGTTAGCAAGCTGCTGCTGACTTAAAGTGTCCTTGGTTTCCCCATAGCAACAGTTAAAAACAAAAGAGCAGATACACATGTAGTTGTAACTAAATCCTTTCTCTTGTTTATAGAACGAGGCCCAGTGATGTGTAGGAGTTTAAAGTTAAAGGAGCAGTTTTGTTTTAATCGTTGAGAAATTCCAAAAGACCAACACTAACATATATATACAGTAGCTTATTCATCTGTGCCATAGACTTGCATTGTTGTGCATAAACACATAAATGTTGCACTGTTCATAATAATGAATGTGGACACTAAAGTTTCTTTAGAGTCGATCCAACATACACCTTCCTGCTCCAGTAAACACTCACCAGAACACCAAATGTTTATTAACTGAAAAAAGTCCCCAATAAATGCACAATTTACTCCTGTTTGAGTTCACAGGAGTTTAATGTTCGATATTAACTACATTGCCCATTTATTTTGAGAAATTATTTAGCCCCTTTTAAAAATGAAAGTGTGTATTCGTGACCAGTTTTAAAGATTTACATCTTCAGTAAGAAGGAATGGGTTTGAGGCCACAGACAGGTTGAGTCAGAAAGTATTGAGAGATGGACTAATGTTCGGTTGGTTTTGGTCTTTTCATGGAATTTGTTGACCGTAATAATAATATAGAATATTTAATGGGTTTATTTTTTAAGACGAAGCCACAGAGCTCTGCTTTTAACACAGGCTTTTTTTTTTTTTTATGTACGAGCCAACTGGAGGAACATCACCCTTTAGACAAACTGCCCCAAGTTTCTCCTCACAACTTGAAAATAAGGATTATTCTTTAATTTGACTTTAGTTCACATCAAGCCAACACAATGACAGCAAGGTATCAGCAACCTGTTACATCCACGCTCCAATTAAAAGAATTAAGATGTAAGGATCCTTCATTATCAGCTCTCTCTGAAGGACATCAAAGGCTCTGGTGGAGTGAGAGTGCAGCTGCCCTGACGGTGTGAGTTTCTCCTCTCTCACTCCAGAGGAACTTGTTTGTGTTGAGGATGTTTACTGATCCCAGGAAAGACAAACAGCCTCTTTCTTGTTTGTAGGTACTGCAGCTAAAACAGGACTGTGGGTCAATTCTGTGTGTGTGTGTGTGTGTGTGTGTGTGTGTGTGTGTGTGTGTGTGTGTGTGTGTGTGTGTGTGTGTGTGTGCGAGAGCGAGACAGAGCTTCAGGATGTGTTGTATTGTTGGGTCAGTGTTTATCTTTGTCTCTGCGTTTTCACCTCACTTCCAAGTTTCCCATCAGAAGCTGACCAGATTAAAATGCAGTGAAATACAATCAGACAGAAAAAACATCCAAGGCATGTCAAAAGCTGCAGCTACACACACCAGATGTCTGCAAAATATCCTAAATATGTACAATCATTGGAATTTATGATTATGTTATGATAAATGAGGACTTTAGCATAATATTAAACTAATTCTAATTGATTTTGTAATCAATCGACAACAAGTAGCCATTAAACTCTGGATTTCTGAGCAATTTCACCCAATTCAGATATGATACCTCATCTAAACACATGGTGTCACTCTTTCTCATCTATGCTGAT